AAATCTGTACTTAATCTAACCCTAACTAGGACCCTTGATTGAAACCAATTATTGGAAAATTAGGTTACTTAAACTGTTACTAATATTCTCAGAGAGTTTGTTTGCTTATGGTTTGTGTGTGGGTTTTTTGTCAGTGTCATATTGGCTATCACCAATGTTAAGAGTGGATAAAAGACACTTGAATTTCTTGGTGGGATGGAGAAAATGCTGGGAGCAATTCAGTGATACCAGTTAACTTGCTACTTGACCAGAGAATGGGGGGAGCCACTCCTCTTTGGGAAGAGGAAAGAGTAGGGTGTAATCTCTGTGAGATAAGATTTTTCTTAGAGATTAGGAAGAATTGAGAAGTTGTAAAACATTAGATTCACTGTCTAAGAAGAAAGTGGTCCTTTATCCATTGCCATTTAACAACAGGACATATCCATGGGGTGCGAACACACAATACAATATAGAGATGATGTATTTTAGAATGGTATACCTGAAACCTATATAATTTTATTGAACCATGTCACACCAATAGATTAAATAAATAAGTAAGTAAATAAAATGTTTAAAATAAATAAATAAAAACAGGACAGTTTACCTATCTCCCATGGTTCAGATGTGAAAAGATAGTGATTAAATTGCTTCCTCCAGTAGATCAATCTATAGTGTAAACTAGAACACTTATGAATGTCTGGGGGAGACAATTAAATCAATTTAGGACATGATGAATATAGTTTAATATTAGCCTTTTTCTTACATGACTTTGTTTGTATGTTCTTTTTCCTCTGCACCATCTACTGCTAACTTATCATGTCTTTATGTATTTTATCTATTTTAATAGCCACTTTAAACTGTTATGGAAAAAGAAGGGACATAATTGAATAAAATAAATTCTGTTACAAAAGCTTTGAGGGCCTTTATAATTCTAGGAGTCATGCCAGGTCCAGGGAAATATAAAGAGCAGGGAACACTGAACTCAAGGTCTTCTCAGTGATGAGCGTGAACAGGTCAACTAGCAATAACAAAATAAAAATCCTTTGCGGGGAATAGAACTCCTGTGGGATCACAGAGCAGAAAGGCCCACTCTCTTAGGAAAGAATGGAAAAGGATACAAGGAGAGCTCACAACAGAGTTGGTGGTAGCACACAATCTTGAAATACAAATCCTGCCAGCAAATCTGATTGGGGAGGATGTGGGCAAAGATGGGGTGGGGAGTGGGGGAAACGTGGTCTTCAAGGAACAACTTTGAGGCTGCCCTTCTTATTCCAGGAAAATGTCATTATTCCAATCTATTAAATTACTGACAAATGTCTTTCTTGGCTAATATTTCCTTCTATGCCTTTGTTCTCACCACATGGCCAGTGATCACTGGTGTAATTTGACAGTTTCAGGAGATTGAATGGTTTCCAGATAATTCTGGTTAAAAAAAAAAAAAGTAACACAACAGAAGTATCTTCAACAAAAGGAAAACACTCTATACCAGGGGTGGGCAAACTTTTTGACTTGAGGGCCACAATGGGTTCTTAAACTGGACCGGAGGGCCAGAACAAAAGCATGGATGGAGTGTTTGTGTGAACTAATATAAATTCAAAGTAAACATCATTACATAAAAGGGTACGGTCTTTTTTTTTTTTTAGTTTTATTCATTTCAAACGGGCCGGATCCGGCCCGCGGGCCGTAGTTTGCCCACGGCTGCTCTATACTCTTTTTTGAGACTCTGACTGACACTACAAGGGTAAAAATCTCTCTCTCATTCTTCTCAACATCAGTACAAAGATGTCCTACTCAAGCACAAACCTTACAAATACGTAAAGGGAGCCCCTTGCAAAAAAATAATGGTTTATAGGGCACCATTACAAATACACTAGATTGTTTAACCTTTGCAATTTACATTCTGTAAGCAAACATGGAGGGCCATGATAAAGAACAACCCGTAAGTTTACTTCAGAATGAACTTAAGTGTGAGGGCTTTGGTGACGATGTGAGGAAACCCTTGGCCAGTAAGCCTAGCCAACTGCCTGGGACCTACGTTCCAGTGAGTCTTCCTTACTAAAGCAACACTAGTCATTTTTTAGGTTTTTATTAATTGAGCGCTCTCAATGCTAAGAACTTGACCTACCTTATCTCATTAAATTCTGACAATAACCATTTACATATTAGGAAACTAAGGTCTAGAAAGACTGAGTAAATGGCCTAAGCCTTAGGCCCTAAGGAATCACAGCTTGGAAGCTCATTGGTGCTGCACCAACTTGATTATGGTTTGGTCTAATTCAGTGATTTTCAACCTTTTACATCTCATGGCACACTAATTACTAAATAATAACAAACTAGTAATAAACTACTAAAATTTTGCAGCACACCAAACACTTTATTACATATTTTTAAATATGTTTTATTGATTTTTAGAGAGAGGAAGGGAGATATTACATTTTTTTAAATATGTTTTATTGATTTTTTAGAGAGAGGAAGGGAGAGGGATAGAGTTAGAAACATCAATGAGAGAGAAACATCGATCAGCTACCTCCTGCACACTCCCCACTGGGGATGTGCCCGCAACCAAGGTACATGCCCTTGACCAGAATCAAACCCGGGACCCTTGAGTCCACAGGCCGACGCTCTATCCACTGAGCCAAACCAGTTAGGGCACTATATTATATTTTTGTTGATATGACAAAAAATAGGTATAATTTTGATTCATTCACATCATACTGCTAATTGTGTTGGATGTTGTCATTTTTTTATTTGATAATCTAAGGGAACAGAGGTCAGTGCCCCTGACCAAATAGTCAGGTATTGCATGCTTTAAAAATTCTTGTGGCACACCAGTTGAAAATTGCTGGTCTAATTCATAATTATATACGTGACTATGTCAATTCTAAGTAGATTTTAATCTCCATCATAATATTGTAAGATGTTTTCAGTCCTCATAAACTGTGTGCAAACTGAAGAAATGGGCTCCAGCAGCAGCCTTTCTTTTTTGGAGATTTTACAAAGGACTATGGACAGAGCATCCAGGATGGTGGTCACATTACTGAGATCCTCCCCAAAATTCTCAGAGAACCAGAGTGACTGTCAGGTGGGTGGGCTGCTCATACTTCCTGGGCTAACGGCTTTGCCTGTGTTCCTGAGAGCATGACTGGTTTCCAGGCAACACCATAGTAAATATATTTTCAGAATGGCACAGTGACAAACATTTTTTATAAAAAATAAGATGTATGACTTGGCTGGCGAGGCTCAGTGGTGAACATTGACCTATGAACCAGGAGGTCATAGTTCAATTCCCGGTTGGTCAGGGCACATGCTCAGGTTGTGGGTTCAATCCCAGTAAGGGGCATGCAGGAGGCAGCCAATCAATGCTTTTCTCTTATCATTGATATTTCTATCTCTCTCCCTCTCCCTTCCTCTCTGAAGTCAATAAAAATATATTTTTTAAAAATAAAATGTATGGTACCAATAATGTGATGAGTTGCTTTCTGAAGTCTGCCATTTCTGTCTATAGTAATCCCATGGTTACTTCCAGTGAGACCAGAGGAATTCCTAACAAGAGACTCAAATAATGAACAAAAAAGCAGGCTACAGGGCCAGTAAGGACTCAGGATGAAGACACTGGGTTTTATCAAATTAATTGACTTTTTCCAAGTGCCCTGGTCTTGGAAGATGGAAAAAGTACAAGCCTAAATTTCCGGTAAATAGACTTATATAATGTAAAGAATAGACTCCTGCTGGGGTCTGATCCTCATGGCTGGTGAAACAAAAAGTCAGTCACTTACATGTGATTGGTGTTACAGTCCCTGGGATCTAAACTGCATGAGTCAACCCACACCCATTTTTAGAACTTAATCTTCTTAAAAACAAAAGTGTTATTAGTTGTAGAATAGTGTGTACTTTAATTGCCAGGAACCCCCAAAATGTGCATCTAAATCCCAATGTTAGTATACTTTGGTGAAGTTAAAATTACCCTTGCTTGTTTCAAAAATGAATCCATTGTAGAAATGTTATATGATGCTCTCTCCCCACGTTGTAAAAGCTATCTGTATCCAAAACAATCAAGATACTGCTCTGAACAGCTCAGTTCATTTTAAGTACTCAATATTGTAAACAATAAAAACAAGCATTTTTTATTCTCAACAGAGGCAGTGTTTTTTTTAAATATTTTTTTATTGATTTTAGAGAGAAAGGAAGGAAGAGGAGGGATAAAGAGATAGAAACACCGATGAGAAAAACATAGATTGGCTGATTCCTACACACCCCATACTGGGGATTGAGCCTGCAAGCTGGATTTACGCCCTGTTCAGGAATCCAACCAGTAATCTCTTTGTTCATGGGTCAACACTCAACCATTTAGCCACACTGGCCAGGCCAGAGGCAATGTTTTTGACAATAACATTGGCTCTGAGGGATTGAGCTTGGATTTTATTAAAAATGATGGTGCCTGAAGATATCTATAGAAATTTTGTAAAAATTTCAGAAGGCCTGGAGATATTATGTAGAGTGAAAGAGAGTAAATGAAGGAGGAATGACCATCTCACCCAGCAGGGGCCACCTCTGATTCTAGGCTGTGTGTAGGGTTTTGAATGCTGCAGGAATCACTAAAATGTTTAGTGATAATAACCATCATTTACTCTAATGAAGGGATAAAATTGGATCCAATTGAATTGATGCTGGAAAACTCAAGAGGTGGTACTTTGGTTGGGGGCGGACATATCTTCAGGACCATTCTGCACATATGCAGGCCTTCTAATACCAAGCAGGTTGGAAGGAGCTGGGAGAAGTAGGCTCCAGCCAGTTGGAAATGCACAGCCCCTTGATGAGCTCACATTTTCATTCTTGCCTGCTCTATGTGAACCCAGAGCCACAGTATTTGTCCGGAGAAAAATGCTCTTGTGTTTCAAACCTTCCTAGGGGGCTGCTCACTCGCAGCTCCTTTCTCCCAGAATATCCTTCATTTCCTGTGAAGACAGTGACCTTGTGGCTGGGATCTTCCGCCCCTCCTGATTGTCTGCTTATCCCCACAGAATCTGTACCAGAACAGGTTTTTAGGCCTGGCCGCCATGGCATCTCCATCTAGAAACAACCAGAACAGGCGCCGCTGCAAGGAGCCACTTCGCCACAGCTACAACCCCAGCCAGTTCCACAGCATGGCCATCAGGACCGGCCCCCATGGCACCGTCACCATCCCCCGCTCCACCAGCGACACTGACCTGGTTACCTCTGACAGCCGCTCCACGCTCATGGTCAGCAGCTCCTACTACTCCATAGGGCACTCCCAGGACCTAGTGATCCACTGGGACATAAAGGAGGAAGTGGACGCTGGAGACTGGATAGGCATGTATCTCATCGGTGAGTAGAATAGCAATGAGCCAGGCTGGCTAACAGTGTGCAGCAGATATAACATCTTAGGAATGTGGTTTGGGCATTCAACAAGCATATTGTTCATATTTCACTCCTTTGCAGGCTTTAATATTTCAATAAACTCTATAATTTAATTAAAACTCACAATTCGCAATCAAATGTGTTATGCACCAAATTCTAGCACACTGAAGACCACACACTAGCTTCTTGTGCCATCTCTACTCCATAGAAGAAGATCATGAGAGAGCAGGGTAAAGAGTGGTTGAACACAAACATTGTTACCACTTGTACATCTACATGGAGTTAATTTCGCTTTTGTTTTCAACAGAATCATAGGCTTCTTTTTCCCTGCTCTTTCAACATTCTTTCTGCTTTGTAATACTGCTTTCACTGTAGACAGTGAACACAAACACCAGGGACTAAAGAACAGCATGATGACTGAAAGGAAAGTGGCTGCACAGGTTTGTAGTGCTAGAGAACATAAACCTCACAAATTGTAAATTATGGAAATAAAGTTTCATGAAAAATATGTTTCATCTATTTTACATGATAGAATCAGGTGTGGTGAAAATTGACGCATTTACACTTTAAAGTGAAAGGGGCCCCTAGAGTCAGCAAATTCAACTGAGGCCAGGCCTTTTGCATTCAGTCTCTGCAATGAAGCATTCACACATTCAGACACACAGATTTAACATCATCAAATATCAGAGAAACTAATGATTGTTTTGAGTATTTTATAACCTAGGCTGTTTTTATGATAAAATATAGGGACTCTTATCTGTCCAGGTGTCAGAGAAATATTCTTTGGTTCTCTTAAAGGTTTTGTAACCAGTTTGGTTAGTGTAGTTACCATACACACCATATTATGATTTAGAAACATAATTTTTGAGATTTTTTACATAAATAGTGGTTACTAAATAAACTGAACTTCCAAACAGGTGACATTTAATTTGCTTTAAAAATTGTTCTTGATTAAAAGTGTTTGGATACCATTGATCTAGAACAAATCTTGTAAAATAATAGCCCATAAAGCATATTTTGTTTAGTCCATTTTGTTTTAAATTTGATTAATTATTAACACTTAAAAAATGCAGAGATTTCCCATTAAAATTAAAATTCTAACCTTGTGTCACAAAAGCCCTCAATTAGGCAGCCTGAGCCTGTAGCTCCACGTGGCTTTAGTCAGCAGGAGTTAAGCATTAGCTTCCCCATTGAGACTGTCCTGCCTCCATCTATTTTGCCGTAGTCCCCCTTCTACCCATCCCTACTTGAATTATGAATCTTACTTGTTTAGAACCTTAGACAATTGGGTTTTTAGTCTGAATCTAGTTTTAAATCAACTCTTTATAGCTGTACCTTCCCGCAGTCAGGAAATAGGAGAGAAGCAAGCGGGATGATGAGGGCATTTGAGGAACATTTAACAGTGGTGAGGGAATTGACGGATTTGGAGGTCAGCCCTAGATCTGGCCTAGGAGTGTAGACCTGGGGTAATCGGCACCCTGAGAGTAGATACTTATGTGTTGTGTGTAGAGAGTGCGAGAAATCCACTGTCAAAGAGAGAGACAAAGGGGATGGAGGAGTTGGAGAGGTGGGACAAAAATTAGGAGCCCACATCATAGACGAGAGACTTCAGAAGGAAGGGTGGTCAGCACTATTAACCTGTCATAAAATTCCGTGAATGAATTAGATCTGGAATTAACATGACATTCTTACTGAGACAAAAGTAAACACAGCTCATCATCTTAATTTGACAGTTTGTTCTTTTTCCTAGTAGCTGTATATAGATAACTGTGAAGTTATTTTTTATTAAAAAAATTTTTAATGTTGACATTATTGTAGTCCTCTTCCCACCACTTTGCCCACCTCTGGATCCAGAAGCATGAATACAGACTGGTTTGTGCCCAAGGGGTAGGGGATGGGGGTGATTGGATAAAGAAGGTAAAAGAAATAGCTAAAGAACATATATGCATAACCCATGAACACAGACAATAATGTGAAGTTATTTAATGCAAAATGGCAACACTTTTGGTGGCATAACAATTCAAAAATAATTTCCCAACCCAAAATTATCTGTGAATCATAAAAATTCATAATTTGTAGATCCTTAGTAACTCATATGCCAGATTTTACATTCCAATATTAAACTAGTATTTAATATATTAAAAAACCTCTTAGGATCACCAATTTTTAAAAGCAGTCATTTCCTTGACCCTGTTAAGTCCTTATTAAAATGACTTAACACCCTGAGCAGTGTGGCTCCGTTGGTTGGAGCATAGACCCATACACCTAAAGGTTGCAGGTTTCTGGTCAGGGCACATACCTAGGTGACAGATTCGGTCCCCAGTTGGGGTGCATATGAGAGGCAACCAATTGATCTCTCTCTCTCTCCCTTCTTTTCTCTAAAAAAAAAAGAAAGAAAGAAAAGAAAATCAAAGAACATATCCTCTGCTGAGGATTTTTAAAAATGACTTAACAAGGGGGAGGATCCAAAATGACAGGGGAATAGAGGGACATTACATTCATCTCCTCCCGGGACCAAACTGGAATTAGAACTAAAATATAAGCAGTGGTTCTCAACCTTCCTAATGCCGCGGCCCTTTAATACAGTTCCTCATGTTGTGGTGACCCCCAATTTCATTGTTACAAATTGAACATAATTAAAGCATAGTGATTAATCACAAAAACAATATGTAATTATATATGTGTTTTCCAATGGTCTTAGGCGACCCCTGTGAAAGGGTCGTTCGACCCCCAAAGGGGTCGCGACCCACAGGTTGAGAACCGCTGATATAGAGTGTGCAACCTGAATAACTAACTGAAGACAGCTGAAGAGAAATCTTATAATCAAGGATTTACAGAAGAAGCCACATCATGACTGGTAGGAAGGGCCAAATGCAAAAATGGCTGGCCCTACTCCCACAGGAAGTGGCTAAGATTCCAGAAGGATATCTCAGCTGTCGGAGGGGCGGGTCCTCCTTAGAAGCATGGGGTCTTAAATCCAAGCCAACTCCCAAGCCTAGAGCACAGAGCTTGAAAGGGATCCCCATTTAACACTTGGCTATGAAAATCAGTGGGGATTGTGTCTGCCAGGGACAGACAGGAGTCTGCTAGAGACACAAGCACACTCAGTCAATGCACAAAATCTTGTTCACAGCCACTCACCCTGGGCCCCAGCAGAGGGAGGGCAGAGTGGACTAGAGTCAGTGAGGACAGACTGGGATTTGTGGCTCTGGGGAGAGAGCTGAAGTGGCAGCTGCCATGATAGCTGTAGTGAGTCTTGCTCCCACATCGTAGATGCCATATTTTTTGGGTGGAGCACTCCCCTCCGTATAGGCATCAGCCTGGGGGAAATTAATAGCCCTACCTTCTGGACTCCCTCTCGCCCCACTCTGTGGAGCTCACACACTGCTGAGGGGTGAGCTGCCTGAGCCAGGGTGTAGAGGTCTGGGAAGACTCAAGGGGTGTCAGTGAGTGGCTTTAGGGTGGAGGCCATTCCCCACTTTCCTGTGAACATAACTGGCACCTCCCTCTCAAGACAGATCCACTAGACCCGCACTCCAGACTCCTGGTGGCTCCTCTCTTCTAAGCTCTGGGCAGATTCTGGGACAGACTGAGTTGTGTGGCTCTGGGATGGGTGCCACTCCTCCCACCATCCCTCAAGACTGACTGGCACCTCCCCTTCATGGGAAATCCACTAGCCCCATTCTCCTAACTCTTGGTGGTCCTGCCCTGCTGAAATTAGGCTCCTGGCAGAATCTGGGACAAACTCAGGTGTGTGGATCTAGGATGGGGCCCATTTTCCCCTTGTATGCCTGAGTGGTGCACAGCCTTCCCTTTACACAGCTTAATCTTGGTTTGTTTGGGTCTGATAAACCCTGCTGGCCTCACCCTAACAACTCCCTGAGATACTGCCCTACCACAAAGGTGTGTGAGCACCCAGAAGGTGGCAGCTAGACTCAGGAACATTTGCTGAGTGGCCTCAGACCCAGCACTGGCACTGAGTTTGAACTTGTATCACTCTGATGAACACCACTCACCCCCCTCTGATGACTCACTGAGTCACCACCTCATGCAACTCAAGTACCACTAGAGGCTCTTTCAGTGACTGAGTCTAACAGGCAACTGACAGGTGAAGGCAGTTGGAGAAGGATTTCCAGGTGCCTTGAGACTTTTGGTGGCCTGTCTCCAGGCCTGGTGCTGGTAAAAGCCAGCCTTGATGCACAGCTTGATCCTTCCCATGCATACCCAGGCCAGCAGAGGCAGCCACACACTGTGGATCACTTTGCAGCTCCAAGCAGGTTGCTCAGGGCCAGTCACAGGGAGCACCTGCCATTGGCCTGCACCAGAGTCTCTCCCAAGAGGCCACAAAACCAACACACCCAGTAGCCAGCTTCAGACAACATCAGAGCAGGATCCAATAAACTTTACAAACAGTATATCCAAAGGGATATCTCAGCAGGCACCACACCCTGCTGAGGCAAATTTTGCTTTGTGTGGTCAATACCTCCACAGCTCATACACTGTGGTGCAAGTTGATCCTCACAGTCAGCCAATCAGAGTGTCAATTCCATACACAAACAGGCCAATAGTCATTAGGACTCAATTACAAGAAGAGGGCTTACATAATCCACACAAAGGGCAGTCCTGGAGCACCCAGCTCGGGTAATCAAGGAGACTGTACCACGGGGTTCCACAGGACACGTACTACATATGACACACTACCAAAACTGAGAGTCAGAGCAGATCTACCTAGTACATAAAAAACACACAAAAGGCAGCCAAAATGGAGAGACAAGAAAAATGCTTCAAATGAAAGAACAAGAAAAAAAGAGCTAAATGAAATGAAGGCAAGCAATTTATGAGATATAGATTTTTTTTAAATGGGTATAAGATCACTCAAGGAACTTAGTGGGAACTACAACAGCATGAAAAGGACATAGGAGCCATAAAAAAGAACCAGTCAGAAATGAGGAATACAATATCTGAAATGAAGAATACACCAGAAGGAATAAATAATTTGTTGGATGAAGCAGAGGATCAAATCAGCAATTTGGAATACAGGTAGCAGAAAACACTGAATCAGAGCAGCAAAAAAAAATTTTTTTTTAATGAGGATAATTTAAAGAACTGTTGGGACAGCATTCACATAACAACATTTGCATCATATGGGTACCAGAGGAGAAGAGAGAGAGCAAGGTATCAAGAACCTATTTGAAGAAATAATGACTTAAAACTTACCTAACCTTGTGAAGGAAAATGGCACACTAGCCCAGGAATCACAGAGAGTCCTAAACAAGATGAATGGAAAGAGGCTTATACCAAGACATATCATTATTAAAATGCCAAAGGTTAAAGACAGAGAATCTTAAAAGCAGCAATACAAAAGCAATTAGTTACCTATATGGGAGTTCCCATAACACTATCAGCTCATTTCTCAACAGAAACATTTAGACAAGAGGCTTGGCATGAAATATTTGAAGTGTTGAAAAGCAAGGGCCTATAACTAAAACTACTCTCCCCAGCAAGGCTATCATTTAAAATTTAAAGAGACATAAGAAACTTCCCAGACAAGAAAAAGCTAAAGGGGATTATTACCACAAAACCAGTATTACAATGATTTGGAGCTCCACAGAGTAGGGCGAGAGGGAGTTCAGAAGATGGGGATATTAATTTCTCCCAGGCTGATGCCTATATGGAGGAAAGTGCTCCATTCAAAAAATATGGCATCTACAATGTGGGAGCAAGACAAAATGTTAAAGCATTTCGTTGATGATGATGAAGGAGAAGGAGGAGGAGGAGGAGGAGGAGGAGGAGAGGAAGAAGAAGAAGAAGAAGAAGAAGAAGAAGAAGAAGAAGAAGAAGAAGAAGAAGAAGAAGAAGGAGAAGGAGAAGAAAGTTATAAAGAATAAAATGACAATAAATAAATACTTATCAATAATCATTTTTAATGTAAATGGCTTATATGTGCCAATCAAAAAATATGGGGTAGCTTAATGGATAAGGAAACAAGACCCATATATATATATATGCTTTTTACAAGAGACCAACCTCAGAACAAAAGATACACACACAAAAAATGAAAAGGATGGAAAAAGATATTTTATGCAAAAGGAAAGGATTAAAAACTGGAATACCAATAATTATATCAGACAAATAGACTTTAAAACAAATGCTATGTAATTGAAGAAAAAGAAGGACACTGCATAATGATAAAGGGAGCAATCCAACAAGAGGATATAACTCTAGTAAACATGTATGCACCCAACATAGGAGCACCTAAATATACAAAGCAAATCTTGATGGACATAAAGAGAGAGACTAACAGTAGTACAATCATATTAGGTGATTTTAACACTTTTTGACTTCAATGGATAGATCTTCCAGACAGAAAATTAACAAGAGCAACCTTAAATTGCACACTAGATCAGATGGATTTAATTGATATCTTTAGAGCATTTCACCCCAAAGCTGCAGAACATACATTCTTTTCAAGTGCACATGGAACATTTTCTATGATGGATCACATGTTAGGACTCAAAACAAGTCTTAATAAATTGAAGAAGATTGAAATCATATCAAGCATCTTCTCTGACCATAAGGTTAAGAAACTAGAAATCAATCACAAGAAAAAAAAACTAAAATATGCACAAAGATATGGAGGCTACATAACATGTTACTAAACAATGAATGGGTTAACTCTGAGATCAAGGAAGAAATAAAAATATACCTTGAAACAAATGAAAATGAGAACCAACAACCCTAAAACTATGAGTCACAGCAAAAGCAGTCCTGGGAGGAAAATTTATAGCATTACCGTCCTACCTCAAGAAACAAACAAAAAAATCGCAGGTAAACAATCTAACTGTACACTAAAGGAAATAATAAAGACCAGCATGGTGAAGGC